TCCAATTGGTATCTCCCGATTCCAATTGGTATCTCAACGAAGTGAACTAGACGTCGTAGTCCCAGCTGAAGAGACACAAGCAAGTTAATTGGAACTGAGAAGATTCCAATAAAGGCTGAAGCGGTTAAGAATTGAGTTCGACCAAGTTCTATGATTGAAATTAGCAGTTTTATGGGGCTCGCTAGCTACTATTGTCGCTTATGGTATGAGTTGAGTCTAATTGGTTTCTCCCGATTCCAATCGGTATCTCAACAAAGTGAACTAGACGTCGTAGTCCCGACTGAAGAGACACAAGCAAGTTAATTGGAACTGAGAAGATTCCAATTGGTATCTGGCCTTAGGGGACATATAAGACATAGATGATCAGTAATAGTCGTCTATGGAACGAACTAATTACAGAATTTGAACTTGTCTGCAAGTTGTAATTGTTTGAGTATCGTGAAACTTGTTATGAAAAGAAAGTCATCACGAGATTAGGTGCAAGGGTCTAGATAAATTACGATGTGGTTGATAAGCGAGAAATTTGGGCGTGCGTTGCGACCAACTGACAACCGTGTGAGAGTCTGGGTATATCCTGGGGATATATGTGTGGTATTGTTGACACTATGTAAAAGGATTCTAAAGTACGTACTTCGTTGGGTTGACCAGGGGATAGACAACGATTGTCCTAGCTAAATGGATTTTCTTAAATGCCTAGTTATAGTCGGGAAATCTAAGGGAAATATAGAAAAGAAAGGAACCCCAAACATTGTTGGCAGGGGTTCTGTTTCCGTCAGGGCCGCTGGGGCGGGATTTTCCCTGCCACCTCAAGACCGCTAGTGCGCGATTTCTCCCCCAGAGCGGGATAGGGAGAGACATAATCTCAGCCTTGTCTAGTTTGTTTTCCCTAGTCACAACTCACAATTATGGACCCCGAGTCGTACCCGAACTAACCCCCGCGATCTAACTCAGTGTTCAACAATCGAATATAAGTTATAAAGTGTGTTAAAATTGTGGAGAACCAGGGAATATGAGGAGGAAATCAACGAGGCCGTGGAGGCCAAGGAAATAGTAATGTAGGTAGAGGAGTAGTGCAGCCAGGCAACGAGGTTTCCCGTCAAGATGTCAGGGCTCAGTTTTATGTTTTTCCAAGTAAGACCAAGTTTGAGGGTGTGATGCAGTGGTCACAAGTGCTACTCTTGTATATGCTCGGATGGCTATTGTTTTGTTTGATCCGGGTTCTACTTATTCATAGGTGTCAGTTCAATCGTCTTGGGATTTGATGTGATTCGTGATATACTTGATGCCCCCATCCATGTTTCTACCCAGTTGAAGAGTCAGTCATAGTCACCCATGTGTATCGTGTTGTCCTGTTGTGGTTATGGATTTTTAGATTTTGGTTGATTTGGTTATGATGGATATGACTGGCTTGATATAATCTTAGGCATGAGTTGGTTGTCCCCCTATTATATCGGGATTAATTGTAATACTAAGTCAGTAACTCTAGAGATCCCCGGTAAGGAAAGATTAGAGTGGGAAGGAGTGTACAAGCCTAAGCTAGCTAAGATCATATCTTTCATTCGGGATAGGAAACTAGTAGGGCAGGGTTGTTTGGCTTATTTGGCTCATGTTTGGGATGTTGAGGTTGAGTCTCCCTCTATTGAGTCTATTCTTGTGGTGTCAGAATTGAGAGAGCTTAAAGCTCAAATCCAAAGGCTTCTTGATAAAGGTTTCATTTGTCCCAGTGCTTCCCCGTGAGGTGCTCATGTCTTGTTTGGTAAGAAGAAAGAGAGTAGTATGAGGATTGGTGATTTTATCTTAAGCCATAAAGGAGTGGATTGATACCAGAATGACAAACTTATGGATAAAGAAGGTCCCAATGAGTATACTTGGGTAAAGGAAATTGAAATATTTTAGTAAGAAAGTGCGTATAAATTGGGTTAGTCCTCTGAATTTGATGAGTATACCTGAGTTTGAGGTGTCGTGTTGATGAAAAGGTTGACTTCGTAGTGATAAACAAGGATGACGCAGTGTAATGGTAATAAGAGTCGTGATGGATTGTGACGGGATGCAACTATATAATAAGATTGTTGGTTAAGCGAATTTTGTATAGTAATTACGACTTGCGAGTATCTAAGGTTATGGTTTTATAATATTTAGTGAGTAGCGTGGTTGTATAAAAAGTTATAAGAGATGGTAAGACACAACTCGAATAGAATGTTAAAGAGCTAAAGTTATAATGAAGGAACATATAGTAGAATGTAGTACAGACTTTACAGAGAGGCGAGAGCAAGAATATTTTATTGGGTTCTTAAGGCTAAAGAGGTATCTTCAGAGGGGTAGATAATTAGGTTCAGAGACGCGTGATTTCATTCATTTTGTTATGGCTATGGTAATAGTGTCACAAGTCCATCAGATTGGTCAAAAACTAATGATTGTGCAGACATTAGCTTGAGTGTGATGATAAATGCTTGTTTTTGTTTCTGAGTTTAGTAATGAGTACGATTGGATTGTTAGCGAAAGATATTGTAAGATCGATGGAGATGCAACTGATGATAAGCGAAGATCCATGATTTCATAAAAATCTTCAAGGTATAAGCTAATGTTGATAGATAAGGGGATTGTGTTATACGG